CTGCACTGTGCAATATGGCAGCCACTAGCCACATGTGCTTCTGAGGACTGGAAATGTGGCTGGTACAACCGAGGAACTGAATTTCTAATAAAAAAAATTTTTTTAAGTTTATTTATTTTGAGAGAGAGAACGCGCATACACATGGGAGAGGGGAAGAAAGAGAGGGAGAGAGAATCCCAAGCAGAGTCCGCTCTGTCAGCAGAAAGCTGGACTCAGGGCACGATCTCATGAACTGCAAGATCACAACCCAAGCCGAAATCAAGAGTTGGACATCTAGGGGCGCCTGGGTGGCTCAGTCGGTTAAGCGGCCGACTTCAGCTCAGGTCACGATCTCGCGGTCCGTGAGTTCGAGCCCCGCGTCGGGCTCTGGGCTGATGGCTCAGAGCCTGCAGCCTGCTTCCGATTCTGTGTCTCCTTCTCTCTCTGCCCCTCCCCCGTTCATGCTCTGTCTCTCTCTGTCTCAAAAATAAATAAAACGTAAAAAAAAAAAATTAAAAAAAAAAAAAAAAGAGTTGGACATCTAACTGACTGAACCCCCCAGGCTCTCCTCTGATTTAATTTAAATTTAAGTGGCTATTGGCTACCACATGGGTGCACCTCCAGAGTACAGGTTTGAGTGGGTGGTGAAGTCAACAACGGAACCAGAGACAACACAGAGAACAGGGAACTGGAGACAAGTTTTGGACAGGTGGAGGTGAAGGACAAAGACCTCACTAGTGCAGAAAGCCTGTCACCTTAAAGAACTGGTGTCTGAGACTGCTCCCCGAGAGCCAACCCAGTTTCCTGGGCCTGCCTCTGTGCACAGTGTGCAAGGAACTGAGCCAGAAGTCCAGGGAGTAAGGCGCAGCCCCGCAGTGTGAGTAGGGGAGGAAAGAGGCCTATTTCTCTGGGGGGGAAATAACTGTCCACAAGGCTGTTGCTCAAGGGAAGCTAGCGTAGGCTTCTCTGCCCTGGGGAGTGGGGTAAGGGAGGCCTCTAAGGACAAGCAGTCAACCTGAAACCTAAGCCATCTCGGGATCTGGAGAAACCGAAAGGGTCAAAAATCACAGCTTGTTTCACTTTGGGCCTGGTGAGGGCTGGGGCCTCCAGCGGGCTCCAGGGCACTTCTCACTGTGTTGGGGGTGGAAGCGGTAGAGGTGGGGTGGGATCGCGTGGGGGAAGGGGGTGTCCACCCTATACCTTTAACTTATTCTTTGACCTTGAGAGCAGGCTGCCACAGCCGAAGCTGGGCCTTGGCCAAGGGCAACATGGCCAAGTTCCCAGGGGTAGCAACAACAGGAAGCTCGTACTGCCAGTCTGCCCCACCCCCAGCAGCTTCCTGCCCTGAAAGGCATCTCCCTCCCAGATTCCTGGTCACACTGAGCCTGAGCACCACGCCCAAGAGAGGACACTCAGGTGCCCCTTCCTTGACGTCCCTAGCTTTCACTCTCTTCACACCTGGAAGTTTCTTCTAATTTTATCTCACTTTTTCTAACTCAACTTACTTGCCTTTGCCCTGTCCGTATCCAAGCTGAAGAATTACACGCCAACCTCTGTTCCATTCTTAGCCCCTCCAGACCTAGTCCATCTCTCTACCTTCTCAGGAATATTCTGCTCCCTTCCTGCCTCTCTTCTACCTTCTTCCCACTACTCCAGAAGACCATACTCTACAAGGGGGATTTAGTCTCTTTTGAGCCACAGCCACTGTTAGTAGTCCAGCAATGCAGGAATGTTGATAAATGCATAAAATACATAAGAAACAATTATATTGAAAGTTTATTATTTATTTATTTGTCAAATAATTTTGTCAAATAAAAATTTATTTGTCAAATAAAATAATTTATCAAATTATTTATTAATTTGATAATTATTAAAACCACCAAATGTGTGACATGTAATACATAGTAATAGGTGTGAAATAGTAACACATTAAATAATAAAATCTAGTGGTTAATAACTAGCTAAACTTCAAGTACTGATGAGCGTAAATATATATATACATATTTTTTAAATCTAATTTAACATAGGGGCGCCTGGGTGGCTTGGTCGGTTAAGGGTCCGACTTCGGCTCAGGTCATGATCTCACGGTCTGTGAGTTCGAGCCCCACGTCGGGCTCTGTGTTGACAGCTCAGAGCCTGGAGCCTGTTTCAGATTCTGTGTCTCCCTCTCTCTCTGCTCCTCCCCTGTTAATGCTCTGTCTCTCTCTCAAAAATAAATAAACATTAAAAAAAAAAATAAAAAAAAATCTAAGTTAACATATAGTGTAGTAATGCTTTCAGGAGTAGAATTTAGGGATGCTAAAACTACTCACTTTTTAAAGAAATTTTATTGAAATCCAAGTTGGTTAACATACAGTGTAGTGATGGTTTCAGAAGCAGAATTCAGTGAGAGCATAAATGACTTCAAAGGTACCTGCTACAATGGCAGTATGGTAGGAAAATACCTGCTAATGTTAACATGGATTGTGGCTGACATTTATAATCCGAAGAAAGGCTAACTTTCAATTAAGGTTAGTGACAAGGTCGGGAGCATGTCTTTCCCCCATCCAAACGCACAGACCTCTAAATTCTACCCACGGACCCCAGGTTAAGAACCTCTGACCTAGTGCAGAGATGAGAGAAAGATGTATGGTGTTTGGATTCCCCCTTTAAAATTGCTGAAAGGAGAGAGAGAGAGAGAGAGAGAGAGAGAGAGAGAGAGAGAGACACAAAAAGGTTTGATATTACAGAATGAAGAAGGGAGGTTAGACAACCAGGAAAATCCTCCAGCCTTTTCAGGTGCAGAAGATGACCAGGAGATTTAACGGCATCCTTCTCAAATTGGGCTGAATGTGATGCCTCCAGACCTAGATAGATGCAGGCTTAAGTAACCAGGTGGGGGGCAGGGCTGGGAGTGGTTGCTCTGCCCTGCTCTGCTGGGAGTTCTGTGAGGGAGAGCTGCATCTCTATCCGTCTGATCGGCTCAAATCCCCAGGTTGTTATCCCGAGCCTTATCCCTCCCTCTTCTCTCCTACCTTTCCTTGACTACAGCGCCCTCAATTCTCGGCTCGGCCTCCGCTCCTTCCTAAAACAGGGGAGGGAGGCCACTGCATTGGCCTCTGGCCAGAGGACCAGATTTCCGGCAAGTGGAAGGTACAGAGCAGCCTAACTCAGGTGCTCCTCTCACCCCTTAGTCTCTCCACAGGGACAGGATTGGAGCTTTTGTCTCCTCAGCTCAGGGTCTGGACTTCCAGAAAGAAAAGTCTACAAGAGAAAGTGCCATGCAGATTTTCAGGTTCTCAACGTCTTCTTTAGGACTGGGGTCTGGGAGACAGGTGCAAGTCTGGCCTCAGTGCTCTCTGGGGGTCTCCCTCCTAAATCCCAAGGCCACCTCTGGTCTTGTCTGCTCTTCCCTACAAGAGTAGGAGGGTCCTGATCAGGGAGGGCCGGGATTTCCTGTCCCAGTGGAGAGACTGATTTTGAGATCCAAACCGAGCCAGGGGCCATGTTTTGGGGTAAAAGTTCCCAGTGGATTCATCACACCTCCCCAGGGGGCAGCTACAAACCCTGGTCTAGCTCACCCTCTTCTACCCACTTCTGTAGCCAGCCCTAACAACTCGGCACACAGGCTGGAAATTGACATTGATAGTAGGAAGTAAGACCTGAAGGATTCCTGCAGCCACAGGCCTCCAAGCTGTCAGGAAACCACCCTTCCCAGCACCTGTGAGCCAGCCAGGGGTTGCACAAACTGGTGGCTTGAAAGGCTTCAGCCACCTTTCAAGATACCCAAATACACAATTTAAAAAGCAGCCTTAAGGCAAAGATACCTCTCCCTTCCCCAGCACAGCAGTCAAGCCCCACCTAAGCTCCCAGAAATTCTGGAGTCGGTAGCATTTTGCAACCGTGGCGACACAGCCCAGAACCCGGTTTCTCAACCTGTAGAGGCCGCACCCGCATCTCCGGGGGTGGGCAGTGCCAGTAAACCCCAGCAAGCCCTAACCCGCTCAGAATTAACGGGAACAAAAGGATCCCCGTCCCAGGGCCCCATCCCCAGGCAGGCACCTGCCCTCCAAAGCCTCGAGACCCACCCCAAGGGCCGGGCCCTGGAATCCAGCCAAACCGCTACGTTCTGGGAGCCACGGGTCCCCTCCCCACGGCCTCAGTTCGGGACCCCCTAGGCCACAGTGGAGTAGAGGGGAGGAGACCGTGCCCAAGGAGGAGGCGGAGACAGGAGGGAATAAACACGGGAAAACACGCAGTGGGAGGGAGAGTCTCGAGGGCTCGGAACACCGCAAGTGTGAGAATGGGGGGTCCCCTCCTGTAAGGTTCTCGGGCCCAACACCCGCGCCCCCACCTTCCGCACTGCCCTCCGCCCTCTGAGCCCCTCCCCGGCCTAGCCCGTCCCCGCTAGCTCCCCAGCCCCGCACCCACCCCGCGCCCCCTCTTCACCCACCTTCGCGGGCACAGCCCGCGTCCCAACCCTCTCCGCCCCGGCGCCCCAGACCCAACCCCCTCGCCGCCCTCTCACCTGAAACCACCAGCGCCTCGTTGGGCCCCACCGTGTGGCAATTGCCCATGGCGCCGGTGGGACGGAGGGCCCGCGGGGAACGCAGAGACCTGTACGGCACGGCCCGCACCGCCCGCACCGCCGGCCGCGCCCAGCCTATCCCGCCACCCCCAGCGGCCGCCCGCGCGCCCGCCCGCGCCCCTCCGCGGCCGCAGCCCCACCGGAAGTGTAGCGGCGGAGGGCGGGGCCGGCGGGCGAGAGGCGGCAGTCAACGCGCTTCAGTTCCCAAGGCCCAGCTCCACAGCGCCCGGGAAGGCGCCCCCCACTCCCCTCCCCCCGGCCGCCTGCATAACGACCTCCCGGCCCTGCCTCACCTCCCCGCACCCACCTTACCGCCGGGGGCCCTGTTGTCCCGCCGCTGCTGCTCTTACCCGCGGGGAGACCTTGGGCGAGTCCCTTACCAATGCAGCCTAATCCCGCCTCTGCAAATGGGGGTCACTTAACTACCTGGCTACGTGGTTGCAACGGGCCCAAGTTCAGTAAATCTCCGTGTTGGCGGTGCATCAAATCACAACCCCCCCACGTCCTCATCCAGAGCCGATCAGCATCATCCAGAGTGGGGACCAGAAACAGGGAATTCAAATTCTTGAGAAGCAATGTCTGGCACATTAACCACGCCCCCACCCTCACCTCTCAATCTGGGATTATTGTTATTCTCAGGAAGAAATCATCGCCCATGATTTCCTTCCACCAGGAAAAGAGCCGCTCAGAAGAACACAACTTGCAGCTCCAGAAAGGAACCATGGGGGTAAAACCTGCAAACCCCTCAGTGCCCAAGGCGTGGCCTGGCATGCAGTTCAGGTTTTCAAGGGTCACCAAGTGCCATGGAAAGCACCCCAGCCTGGGGATTAGGAGATTTAGGGCTCAGGTTCAGTTTTAACCTGAATTCGGTGTGTGACCTTAGACAAGTCTGGTGAATTGTGAGGGATGGGATGGGGTTCAGAAACTGTGGGCTCCTCAGAGAGGGGGCTGCTCCGGGAAGATGGGGTCCCTGGGTCCTCAGGCTGGGGGTCTTCATCAGGTTCGGCATCCTGGCCAGGCCCAAGCCCTGCCAGCCTTTTACTGGCCTCCCACAGCCGGTGGGCCGCATGATCATCCCGGGCGGCTGGGGGCACCTCCTCTACATGGCAATTGGCAAAATATCTCCCACTGAGAGGTTCAATGCCCTCCTGTAGAGCGCAGTACAGGGGTGTCTGGGCACCCCCTCTTGGCGTCCGCAGCACCAGCCAAGCCAGTGGGCGCAGAAGTGGGCTCAGCCATCCAGGAACGTGGCGCAGGAATAGCTCTGAGTTCACAGGCCCTGTGGACGGGAAGAAAGGAAGGAGTGGGTGAGGACCCAGGAGAAGAGCAATAAGAATGAGGCTACAAGGGAGTGGGGAATGGAGTCCAGTTCCAGGGAAACCAGGAGAGTATTTGGTGGGCATTCAGGGCCCCCACAGGGTGACCTCACTCATTTCAACAGCAAGCTTCCTCCTCTCCATCTAAACTCCTGTACCTCCTCATGCCCCAGTTTCTTCATGCTGTGTCCCCTGCCTGAGGAGACATCTTTTTTCCTAGCTCAAGTCCCGCTCCTTTGTTTAGCCAGCAAACATATATTAACTAACACCTATGGTAGACCAGCCACTGTTTTGGACATTAGAGATGTGGAGTGTAATAAAAGCTTGATAAATGTTAGTTGTGATTATTACTGTCACTATTATAATTACTAGTGAGCCTTAGGCAAAGACCATCTAAAATGTAGTATGGTAGGGGTTTCCGGGTGGCTTAGTTGGTTGAGTGTCCAACTCTTGATTTTGGCCATGATCCCAGGGTCGTGGCATCAAGCCCTGCATCAGGCTCTGTGCCGAGCGTGGAGCCTACTTAAGATTCTCTCCCTTTCTCCCTCTGCCCCTCTCCCCCGCTCGTACGCTCTCTCTGAAAAAATAAAAAAGAAAAGAAAATGCAGTATGGTAAAATGCGTAGGACAGATCTTGTTATCCTGTGATCTGTTCTGTAAGGCAGAGATGGGTTTTATTCATCAGTTAAGTCACTCAGACTAAAAGCTGAAATGCTTACAGTGGACTTCTAGACCCTGGATGACCCAGCCCATCTCTATACCTCATCTCTCGTCACTCTCCTCCTCTCACTTTGTTCCAGCCACATGGGGCTTCTTGTTCTTTCTCAAGCATACCAGGCACTTCTGCCTCAGGGCCTTTGCACTTGCTATCAGTCTGTTCTTTATACTCTTCTCCCCCGAAAGCCACATGGTTGGTTCATCTCCTTCAGGCCTCTACTCAAATGTCACCTTTTCAGTGATACCTCTTCCTTGCCTGCCGCAGAAAAAGCAGCACCTCCTGTCATTTCATATCCCCGTCACTGTGCTTTATCTTTCCCATGGCACTTTATCATCACCTGTCATTGTAAATATTTATTTATTAGCAGTCTCCCCCTCCCCAAACTAGAATGTAAATTCTACAAGGAAAGGGTCTTTGTTTTAAGTTCACTGCTCTATTCCCAGCACCAAGATTAATGCCTGGTACATAGTAGGTACTCAGTAAATGCTTTTTGAACGAATGAATAATTATTAGCTATCATCATCATCATCATCATCATCATCATCACCATCATCGTATGCTGAGTTCAGTCATATGGATGGGTTCTTGGGGTGAGAACCTGGGTTTTACTCATTGCCATACCCTACCCAGGAGTCAGCATCCAAATTAGTGGTGTGAGAGGAAGAACCCAGACAAGGAGAGCCTCCTTCCAAGATCAGCAAGGAACAGGTCTCTCCTTGTACCGTGCTTCCTTCCTGTTCTGAGCTTCTGTGGCTCAATGAGAGTCTGAGGGAGCACAGGATGGGTTGAGGACGGGAGAGGGGGAATCAAAGCAAAGCAGAGCAGTCAGAAAGCCAGGCCTTACCTGGGTGGGCCGCATAGCAGGTGACACCAGTACCCTCAAGCTGAGTGGCGAGCTCCCTGGCAAATAACACGTTGGCCAGCTTACTGTCGGCATATGCCCGCAGCTCCTGCTGCCAGCCCACCACTGGGCGGTCCAGGCGTGTGAAGTCAAGGTGCCCTCGCCGGTGGGCGGCTGAGGATACCACCACCACGCGACTGGGGGCGCATGTCTTCAGCCGCGGCAGCAGTAGATGTGTCAGCAAGAAGGGGCCAATGTGGTTCACTCGCAGCAGCAGGTTAAATGGCTCGTGGGTCCGGCCACAGGAACTGATCCCTGGGGCGGGGGCTAGATATGAGCAACTGCTCCAGAGGGATCCCCGAAGGCCTCAGTGTCCCCATTTGTGAGACAGCGGTAGGGGGCACCCTTTCCATACATCCACTGCCCCTTGGTAAGGCCTGGCTGGAGGGGACGGTTGCCCACCCTCTGCCCCCCTGCAGGACCTGCTGCCCCTCACCGGCATTGTGGATGAGGATGTCCAGCCGTGGCTCAGAGCTCAGGAAGGCAGTAGCAAAGGCCCGCACGGAGGCCAGACTGGCCAAGTCCAAGGCCATGAAGATGACCTCATTGTTCCCACTCTCCTGTGGGGGCAGCAAGGGCTGGGCTTGTCACCAGGCACCTCTCTCCTCTTCCCTCTCCCCAGGTACCAAATTGTGAGAGTCCACCCCCTACTTTTACTAAGATCTGCCCCTGTGCCTTAGAATGTAGTGGACAAGTATGCGGACTCTGGATGCAAATTTTGACTTTGCCTTTTATTAGATAGAGTGTGACATTAACCTCTCTGGGGCTCAGGTTTCTCCCTGAATAATGGGAATAATGTAATACCTATTTCATGGAGTTGTGAGGATTCAATGAGTTAATATAATGTAAAACGCTTAGAACAGTGCCTGGCACCCAGTCAGCACTGTGTAGGTAGTTCTTGCTGTTATTATTATCATTCCCTCTTCCCATTATTGCTTATCCTAAAATCTGCAACAGACTTCTCATTGGTCTCCCCTCATCCACTCCTGTCCTCTCCAGTCCAGGCTCTGATAGCCACCGAGGGTTTCATTTCAAAATGCTATTCTGACAGTCCATACCCTACTGAGTCCACACCCTGCTATTCTGACAGATCCAATGCTTCACTGTATCTCCACTGCTCATCCTATAAAATCCGAGGTCCTCAATAGGATCTAGAAGTGCCTCCAGAAACTAGCCCTGGCTCAGGGGCTCCAGCCTCTTCATTTTGCCTCTTTTCTTCCATATTTCGTGCTCCATACAGACTCAATAAATCTTTTCTTTCAGTTTTTTTCCCCCCTAAATCAAATCAGCTCTCTTGCCTCAGGGCCTTTGCATATGCTGTTCCCTCTGCTGTTCCCTTCCCTACTGTCTTTCATTAGTGTAACTCTTACCGATCCTTAAACATCTTAGGAAGAGCAATTACTTCCTTCAAAAAGCCCACCTCCTAGCTTTCTCGTCTGGTGTCCCTTCCCTGTGTGGCCAGAGCACCAGCAGACCCTCTTTTCTGCACTTAACGACCAGAGTTGAGGAAGCCGCTCTGTTCACCCCCTCCGTGTCCGGGTGTGTTCGTTTGTTGCTCACCCTCTCCCCCTCACCTGGCGGAGGTCGAAGGCCGCCGCCTCACCACGTTCCCGGCTCCGGCAGGCCAGCACCACGCGCGCTCCCCGGCGCGCCAGCTCCAGCGCCGTCATCTTCCCGATGCCGCTGTTGGCGCCTGCGGTGGGCGGGCGGTAGCTGAGCCGAGGCGGACGGGCCGCTGACCCCGCCGCCCAGCCTCCCCGCCACCAGCGCGCCCGGCCTCCGGCCGGCACTCACCCGTGACCACAGCCGTGCGGCCGCGCAGGCTGGCTATGCCACCGCAGGGCGGGGCCTTCACGAGGTTGTAATAGACAAGCACGTAGGCGCCCAGCAGCAACCCCGCGCCCAGCAGCAGCGCCTCCATGCCGGCCGCGCCTCCGGGCTCCCGCACAGGCCCCGCACCACCCTGGATCGGAGCCCGTCCGGCGGCTGCCGAACCGCCTCGCACCGGCTCGAGCCTCCCAGAAGGCGGAGGCAGAGGCGGAGGCGGGTGGGAGGCAGGGCAGGGGTGTGTGTGCGTGCGTGGGAGCGTGGGCCGTGCGAGCGCCCCCTAGGCATGCGTCTACGTCCTCTGGGTGTGTGCTTGTGGAACACCTAGGTGCGCGTGTGCTTTGGGGCCCTGGCAGCGCCCTCTAGGTGTGTGCCTGCATGAGCTCCTTCCAGATGTGTGATCGTGTGCAGGAGCACCCTGGCTATGTACATGAATCCACCCACTCTGAGCGTGTGAATGACTCTGTGAGTGTGTAATGTGCCCACGGGCTCTGGGATTGCCCCTCAGGTTGTGTGTGTGCCTCTGGATCCTCTGTGTGTGAGCTCCTTGTGGGTGTGTACTTGCAGGCCCAGGAAGTACCCTGTAGGTGTGTGCAGACACACACCCTGTAGGTGTGTACCTTTTACGTGTTTGTGCCCATGTGGGCCAAGAGCCCCTCCAGGTGTGTGCATGCCTCTGTAGTCTCTGCCAGTGTGTGCACTTGAATGAACATCTACGTGTCTGTCCTTTGTGCACATGCCCCTTAGCTGAGGACTTGCTGGAGGGGCTCACAAGGTGTGTGTGTGGAGGGGGGGGGGGCCCTCTGGGTGTCATCTGTGCGAAGCAGAGTCTTTCCCTTCTGGAGGGATGTGTGCACATGAATGCTGTTACGTCTGAGAGAGAGAGTCCAGCCCTGGATGCCTTGCCCTCCCTCCATAAGTAAGTCCTGCAATTCCTTATCCTCACTTCCAGATCTCAGCTTCTAGAATGCTTCCTTATTCTTCCTATAGAGGCCAGAGAGATGGCACAGTGGCCAGGGTGGCACCACCCATCCAGGGCTGTTAGGAGTCACTCCTTAGTTAGCTGTATCCCCGTGCCTCTGCCGCCCATCCCCTCCATTTCCGACGGGAAGCAAGAAGAGACTGAAATGTCATATGTTACCTGACCTTCAGGAGAAAATTTCTCTGGGATGGTCCTAACAGGTGGTATAAATAGGTAAAGAAGCTCCCTGATTCAATGGAGGAAGTGACTCTGACAGCACGGTGGGTGGTGACAGCTTAGGGAGGCACAGATGAGGGTATTCCTGGCCAGGACAAGGACTTGCCTGAGAAAACCATTACAACTTAGCACCCACTGTTTCCCACGTGTGGTGTGCCCCATGGTACGGTCAGCCTTGGAGATACTGAGCGGAACAATAGGTTTCTGCCCTTGGAGAGTTCAAGAGGCCCATCAGGGCAGGGGGAGCAGAGTGGTGGAGACAAAGCAAGGCAGGTAGGTGGAAGCCAGGGACAGACCTCAGATTCCAGGGGGAAGTTTTCTACTTGGCTGCACTAGGGATTCGGGGTTCAGTTGCAGATGCTGTAGGAAGAGGCTGGGAATGGAATATTAATGGAAAAAATGGATGCATACTCCATCTTCAAGGCAAAGTCCTGACCTGCTAACCGGTACCAATTCCTTGAACCCTTGTGGGAGAGACACACAGGCGATCCCTGCGTCCTGTGTTCAGGAAAAACGTCCTGGATAGTTTCTCACGTCAGGTCCGAGAGGAGGAAAAGGATGGGAGCTAGGTTCGATGGGAGGGTTCCCAGGACCTTAGGATTAAGGTAACGCAGTTGAGTCATCTTCCGATGAGAAGCTGCAATTGTAGGGAAGTTATTATGCTTGGTAGTCACGTGAGTTGCGGCTTGACTGGGTCTAGGGATCGGATCTCTCCTTTTGCTTCATGATGCTCCCCAGAGACGTTTGAGTTGACAACCTGCTCCACACTAGATTCTAAGCTCCAAGAGGCTGGGGCCGTATCTGTCCTGTTGATTGCTCACATCAAGTTCCCTAGCCCAACCCCCAAGTCCTAGCAAAGGCCATGCACAGAGGAGGGAACTCAAGTGATACTCGAACAAGTAATTGCTGCCTGCCCAGCTAAGGCTGACAGGGAAAGGATAAAAACCAGGTGCAGACTCCTCCTAGAGGAGATGATCGTATCCTATCAAATACGATAGCGAATAACTGCAATCGGAGGCAGCCGGAACTCCCGAGGCTAAAGCTTTTAGACCAGAACGCAGACGTCTCCTGACAGGTCCTGTTTTTAGTATCTTGGTTTTGGAGTCAACAGGAGCAGGGACCTGCACACACTTGGATTCTTGCAGTATGTGGTCATGTCAAATGCTTCTCTCAAGTCGCCCACGAAGCCAGGCAACAGCCCCGCCCTACCCGATGCACCCCGACCCCTCCATTTTCCCACATCCACCTGGGGCTCACTTTTCTCCAAGACCTCTGCTCTCCTGACCTCGCTTGGGGTCTGAGTGTCTTGGAATGAGACTAGTTCACTGAGACTGGGAACAGGATCTTGGGGAGGGTCCCCTCTGAGGGTGATGACAGGTAGGACAGACAGGCAGAAAACATAAGTTGAAGTATTTTTGTTTTTTTATATACAGAATACAGGAAAGTTTCTGTAAAGTCTAAAACATTACAATTACTATGTACATTGGTACTACTTGGGGTTGGGGGAAGGGGAGAGGAGGGAGCCAGGGGTGGGAGGAACAGGAGAGAAGTGGCAAGAGAACAAAAAAAGGAGACGAAACAGGTTTACGACAAAAACGTTTTTGCTACAATAGACAATTTGAAGAAAACGCTCTACCACATGTAGTACTGTACAGTTTTTAAAAACATTGAAAAAATGTCATCACTAGATGTATTTACACAAAATCCAAATACACTTTTCCTTATTTGAAATAAAATAGATGGACAGCCAGAAAAAGAATTCATTTCTCATTTGTCCATAATACACAGTAGCTACCTGTAGTGCAACCGCTGCAGAAAGGGAAAATAACTCGGAGGGTGGGAACCACGGAAGTCGGGTGGGTAGCGATCTTTATATTAAATAAAACAATGATATTGTATAGATTTTGCTGTATGAAAACTGTATTTTTTTCTTTTAATATAAAACTATTGTCACTGCCACAAAATAGAACAAGTTTCTGATTATTTTACAACGGCGGGCGAGGGGGAGGGAGCAGGAGGCGGGTGGGGAACGGTTTGGTGTTGGAGGAAGTGTCCAGACCATCGGCCTTCCCCTCCCTGCCCACACTGTTCCTCAGCTCGGGTCTGCCGCTTTCCCATGAAATGTCGAGTACAAATATATGTGCAAATGCCCCCTAGAACTTGAGAAAAGAAAAAGGATCTTTAAAAAACAGTCAAAAGGTTTTCTTCATTTCATGCAAAGATTGTAGTTGGAGGGTTTCTGGTGGAGTATAGAAAAAAACCCGGGCTTGGTTTGTGTACATTTTTGCATTGCAGGAGTCTCGGGTCGGGCGGACGGGCGGGTGACGGGGTAGCCGCCGGTCCTAGGGAACGGAGTTGGAACGCAGCACGGGGCCCTGGTGGGGCTTGAGAGACAGCTTCTCGGCTAAGACCCCATCCTGCAGCAGGCCAGCATCGCCTTTGGGCTGTTTGGTCGCAAACTCAGTGATGCTGAACACAAACTGCAGGCACCCCAGCTTGATGTAGCTGCCGTGGTGCAGTAAGGCCGTGCCCTCCCAGCCGGCCCCACTGCCCCCAATCAAGCTCGAGCTGCTGGCTTTGCAGTTGCAGGGTCTCCGCTGTGGCCCCTGGGCCTGGGAGCTCATCATGGCTGCCTCCTCACTTGGCTCTTCATCCTGTTTCTGGTGCCGGCGGCGCCCTGGGAACAAGGAGGGTGGTCACGGGACAGGAACAGTGAGCAGCCAACCCACCCAAGGCGGTTTGCCAGCGCTGGGCCCCTGCACCTCCCCATTCTAGCTGCTAGGTGACTAGGGCTGAGGGACACCCGGAAAGGGCCAGGGGAGTCTGAAGTCCCCAGGCAGGTGTGTGCCCAGCACTCGCTTCTCTGTGGTCTCCCTGGGCCCGCGAGCAAGGAGAGCCTGGCCGACGCGACCCGGAAGGCAAGAGAGCAGGCTGTCGGCAGAAAGCCAGAGCCACCCTGAGGGGGCCTTAAGAGAACACGTCCGAAAAAATGGCGGGCTTCGTGGCCACAGGCTCCGACTTACTGATGACACTCTGCACTTTGGCAACAATACTGCTTGGGGGGGTTGGCGGGGTCTTCTCAGAGAAGTCACATGAATACAGCACATTGTCCACCGTTGTCCCGTGCTCACTGTAGTTTAACAGCTCATAATGTTTGGTATTCTGAGGAGGAGGAGGGAAGATAAGATGTGTGGTCTGCTGCGTGGGGCCTGGGGCTAAGGGGAGAGAGGACACATGGAGAAGGCTGTGCTGCTCTACCTGGGGAGCTCTCTTTGTTCCCCAGTCAAGCCCCCCTGCCCTGTCTCTTTAGAATGGGGCTCAAGACTCACCTCCTCAGGGAAGCCTACCTTCCTAGTGGCCCCCCCCCCCCCCCCCCCCCCGGCTCTACTCTGCCTCCTGTAGAAATGCTATTCGCTGGCACAGAGGGCCTGGCTTCCTTCTATGCAGGTCCCCTCCCCTGCTTCCGGGTGGGCTCCCCCCACCCCGCTGAGCCCGTGACCAACCTCAGGAGAAATGGTAGCACCCTTAGTCACGGCAGGATGCCCTTTCACACCAAGACCCTTCTACTCCAGGAATGACAACGAGCGAAGAAAAGAAGACCTCCCACCTCCCTCCCCCTCACCCAGGGCACTGAACAAAAACCCTGGTGCCTGGGAGAGGCCTCAGGCTGTGAGAGCTCTCCCACCCCTTCCCCACCCCTCACCTCATCATAGAATATGCAGGCGTGTTTCCCAGACACGTAGTTACAGTGACCATAGTTTGTAAGGCACACGTCCATGTCAGCTCCTGTAAGGTGGCAGGAGTAGAGGCAAAGGCAGGCAGAGAACAGACGGTAAGGTGTATGCATGGGAAGGTGGGGGGCAGGGAGTTAGCTTCTGGGCGGGCACCGGGAAGACCTTAGGGGGAGACCAGCTCAGGGCCCCTTCCTTGTATATTTGAACAAAAACCAGCGTCTTTTCCACTCCCCTTCTGAAGAACAGGTGTCCCTGCCAGCTGATCTCCTTCAGAACATGTGGCTGCTGCCCAGAAGGGAACAGTGAGCTCCTGAAGAGG